TCAAGGAGCTCCCACACGAGGCGCGATTCAACCGCGAGACCCCGTCGGAGATCCAGTACATGGCGTTTGAGATCCGGCGCCCCTCGGGAAGAATGAAAGGCGTCGTCGACCTCTCGATCCGGCCTGAGGGAAGTCTCGCCACACTGCAGCAGCAGCAGCAGTAGCAGCAGTAGCTGCTCTTCCGAGCCAAGCTCCCCGAGAAATTCTGGAAAGATTCTTCCTCCTCCTCCTCCTCCTCCTCCACCGCAAGGTCCAGTCTATCCCCCAAGCTATCCTCCTCCTCCACCGCAAGATCCAGTCTATCCCCCAAGCTATCCTCCTCCAGGCTATCCCTCTTACGGCGCTCCCAGCAGCTACGATCGAGACTACCACCAGCCGCAGAGCTATGGCTATGGCGGAAATTTCCAGCAGCAGCCTCCTCTAGGCTATGGAAATTTGGGGCCAGGATATGGACAAACGCAGCCGAATTACTACGCTCCTCCTCCTCCTCCTCCTGCTGCTGCCAAGAGCGGCCATAGCAATCTTGCGCTTGGAGCTGGAATCGCCGCTGGAGCGCTGGGAGGGCTCGTTCTCGGTGAGGTCGTGGAAGACATCGCGGAGAATGCCGACGACGACGATTTCGAATGAAGAACCCTTAGGCCTAAACTTCTATTCAATAAAGTTCTCGTTCTCTCATTCCATCATCTCATCTCAAAGAGGTATTTCACGACCTTGCTATCATCTGTTCACTGTTGATTTTTTTGTTTTCTTTGTGCTGCTATTGAATTTAAGCTCAGATTATTACTCTTTTTTTGCTTTCTTCAAAACAATTCAACATCATTCTGCTTGATCAATTCAGGTGGTTTGTATTTTCAAGAAGAGAAATTTTGTCCCACAACCTGGAGGTTTAGAGGTTTTTATAATTATATAAATATAAATTAATAAAAATATAAATAAAAAACATGAATCTTTCAAATAATATTTTCAGTATTTTATATATATAAATTTAAAAAGATAATGTAAAATTTAAATATTACATTTGTCATTAATAACTTACCTCCTGAACACCGTGCATGGCGAGATACAGTTTCTCACAACAAAGGCAAATTTTCAATTGTAAACTACTTGGCTATAACTAGGAAGGCTAAGAAGTGGCTGCAGATGAAAAAATTTTATAACACAACTGTGAATACAACATTCCAGATGATCTTCTCAATCTTTAAAGTTATTGTCATGATTAAATTTATAGAGTTTTTTATTTGGGGATTAATGCTATATCAACAATGAAGAAAAAAAAAAGGGAAAAAAATTATTGAAATTATTGGAAAGTTCTTTGGAGATTAAAAAATAATTATGACTTATTTATCTTTCTTGAATTTTAGAAAAATATTAAAATTATATAGTTAATTTATTAGTATTTTATAATTTAAAAATATATTTAATAAGGTATTTATCATTTATTTACTTCCAGTCAATAATTAATTAATTATATAAATAAATTTAAATAAAACATAACAATTGAATAAGTTACAGTTTTTAAATATAATACTTCAAGATTCCACAATAATTTTATTTAAGATATATCTTCATAATAATATTTAATATTTAAATTTGTTTAAAAGAAAATTTTATAAATACCAATTTTAGATATTAATTTTCAATAATAATATGTATAGTTAATGATTTTACGTGTTTTATCCCCATATCTATTGTTTATGAAGAAAAAACAAAACACAAACATAAAAAAAAGTGAATATAACTAACATTTTCTTATAGCTATAATAATTATCACAACACATTCATTAATTCCACTATATGAGATAGATTTAGCTTTTCACAATTTATAATCAATTAGATTTATATATTTGTAATTTAAATAAGTGGTAAGAAATAACAATGATAATTTGGTACTTTATAGATGACTTTAATTATTATTATTATTAATTATACGACATGTTTTCAATCCTAATGCCACTCTCGAAAACTCGAGCAAACCCAGCATATAAAAATTCTTGCACACGCAATCTTCTCAATCACCCTCAATCTGGAAGGAATAATCAGCCCGGAAGTATCCAAGTTGAAAATTCTGGAGGTGCTTGACCTCCAGTTTTTGATGCTCTTTTCCCTGCCTCTTCTCCACTCGTCCAGAGAAGCATCCTATCTCCTGTAAGTCTTGCATTCTAAGCTGTCATGAAACCCAACATGACACTACGTGCGAAGAAAACGAGCTCTTATACACACTGATGCCGCCGATGGCTTGGGCCTTGCAGAAGAACTGGGCGATGGCACACTGCTGAGGCTGATTACCAGTCAGGAGTGGCAAAACCTGTAGCTCCACCAGCCCGAGGCTTCGAAAACTCTCACAGAAGCTTTGCACAGCTCGTCCATCTGCTGTGGAGCAAGGCTGCAAAGTCGGCAATAAGGAACACCTCCTGGTAGCCTTCGGTGATTGGGAATCATCACTGTTCCTGATACTCGATCCAAGCTGGTTGGCAACACAGTCGCAGCAAAAGGCCGCAAGCCTCGAGCTTGTTCTCGTTGATGATCTGGCATAAACACACTAGACAATCCTTTGCTGCTTTTACTGCCACTGGATTGCTTCGTTCTTCCAGGACGTTGACGATCTACAGAACTTCTCCACGCACGAACAAGGAATGCCACCAGTGGTTCATGCTCACAGCAGCTCCATTGATTTTTCCAGCCCAGCTAAGTCGGCCCCAAATTTTCCAACCAGAGCTCTCATCACCCCAAGAGGAAGCCCATCACCTTGCAGTGAGACCTGTCGCTCCTGGTTAGCTCCGACACGAAGGCCAGTGAGATTTGCAGGGCCTGACCGTGAACTCTGCAGTAGCGCCGGTCGCACCAGCTAACCAGCTTCATCCAGCAGGCCGTCTTCGAGAGGAGCACCTTCCACCAGTTTTTCTTGAGCTGTCTTGCACCGAGCCACACCTTGCAAGCTCAAGGATGAAATTTCAATCACCTGTTCACCAAGATGCGCTGGTACTTGCAGAGCGTTCTTTGTCCTTCGTTCTTCGTACTCACCCGCAGCTTTCTCATGAATCACGACACTTCGTCATCTTCGTCATCTTCTTTCCACTCAAAGCTTCCCATAAATTCTTGCTTCAGTCCAAAGTCGGTGAAGTCGGTCGCGTCATCAGGATCGCACATGAGATGAGAGCCGTGACAGCAGCAGCTCGCTGGTTAGCTTTCGTCACGGGAGTGATAAGCAGATCTGTTGCCGGCCTTTTGAAAGTGTCACCTCGTGCGTCTTGGACCCCGAGTTTCAGCACAAGTTGGGCAGATGCTGACGATCGAAAGGCTCCAAAAAGCTTGAAATGCCTTCACCGCACTCGTCAAAGAGAATGAGCAGCTCGTTGTCAACCAGCTTCGTTTGCCAGCAAAGTGGATGCCCCAGACGCTACTATCTCTTTCACCATTCCGCCAGACCGATCAGAATCACGGGTGCTCGAAATTCTCAATGCACTCGTTCATGTCTCGCGCTTCTGTCTCGCCAAGGTTGTCTCCACCGCTAGACGCTGCATGGCTTCTGTAGGATATACGTGCAGCTCGTTCATGCGACTCGATCCTGGACCTTGTGTGGCTGCCACCTTTAGCCTCGAGCTGCTTTTGTAGCAAAGCTAGTCCTCTCTGTTTTTTGAACTCTAGCGCAGGTTCCGTACGACCGTTCTGTGAAGTCTTTTCCTCCTCAGCGACTATGGAAGGACTCGCTCGCTGTTGATAGCGGCCGTTTAGTTGTCGAAAACACGCAAAGATACGCTTGGAGCTCTCGATCAACAGGGAAATGGGCATGGAACACCTTCTTCACCTGTGAACAAAGAAAGATGAATCCATCGATAAACAGTGAAAGAAAACAAAGGAGAGAGGACTTGCCAGCTTGTAAGAGCGTGCTTCCAGAAATGGCCGGAGTTTGTCCTCCAAAGAGTCGAAAAAGACGATGTGGCTGGGCACGTTCCCGTCGCCAAACATGACGGAGAGTGCTGCGAGTGGATCTTCCATGAACCGTGAGGCCTCGTCTTTGCCACCATCGCTGCTGGGAGAGCAATCTAAGAATCTCATTGGCAAATCCTTGTGCAGCGACGAGTAGAATGGAGTCGCATGGCATTGCGTCAGAAACGCAATGCTTTCCACCCTTTGGTCTGTCGCTTCTTTGCCAAGGTACTCCATCACTGCTTCTGAGCCGCGCTGTTTGGACAAAAGTAAACAAAAAAAGACATTGTCTACAAAACAACCAGCTTGCAATCACCTGATGGACGAGCGAAGTGTAAAGCGCAGTTGGAGCGTTAGAGACAAGCAGCCCGATGAGAATGATTGTAAGCTTAAGCGGCCATCGTCCACCGGATTTTTCTTTGACGATTTTCTTGCTTCCGGCCTCAATGGAGGCAAGGCTGTATCCAGCAAACAGCATCGCCAAAGGAAGAGCTGGCAAGACAAACCTGCAAAAACACCATGACTAGAAAAGTTGTTCTTCATACATACACGAACGAGTACCTGAATTCTTTGTGCCCGAGCAGACTGTACGTGAACAATATCCAGGCTACAAGACCCGCAAGAAACCACTCCCGCGACCACCAAATCCCAAGCACAGCTAGCGGCAAGTGTGTGAACGCCATAGCTGGAAACCCCTGAGTGAAATACCAGTGCCAGGGATGGCTGCCGTAGAAGTCACCACCACCCGAGAGGAAATTAAACTGGAAGAATCTCAGCGGCACAAATATCCATTTCCCATACATGATCCTGTCCAAAGCGAAAGTCGCTCCAAGAATGACACACCTGGAAGTTGGAAACAAATGTGAGGCTTTGAAGCATGGAGCGGTTTGCTTACCCGATAGGAAGAACTTCATGGAGGAGATATCTGAATTTGTCACGGCATTCGTAGAGGTGATAAATCCCCACGTATAGCCAGATGACAGCGCTAGTAGGCCGGATGGCACACGAGATCCATGCAACGCATAGAGCAAGCTGACGATTCGACATAAATCCGAAGTGCTTGTCGATGGTTGGAGATGACCAGTAGAAGAGAGCAATCGTCGTGAGGACAGTCTCGATGCTGCTGGATAGAGTGCGAACCATGCAAAAGAAGGTGAACCAGTTCACGAGCTGGCAAAACATCTGCATAACAAAGTTCGTGAGAATCGCGAGCTTTTCTCTCATTTTTTTTTCTGATGGAACTTACGGTCCACTTTGCCACACGGTCACCGAATGCTCGACGAGAGAGCTTCCACAGGTAAACATCACCGGCTGCGGCAATGAGAGACTGAAAAAGCCTTGGCGACCTCGCCTAACAGAGTCATACATGACAAAGCTAGAAGGAATTAGAACTCTCTCGGAAACGAAAGCTCAAGTTTTATCGAAAGCTTACCATGAACCATGGAGTATCCAGCTTAAGCACTGCCAACATCTTGTAGAGCGCAGCGAACATGAGCGGGTGGAGGTAGCTGCGAAGACCTTTGTTCCATTCCCAAGTGAGATGTCCATAGCTAGATCACAAAGAAAACAAGAATGTATGACCGAGAGATTTGTTTTTGAGCTTACCCGAAGACAATGCGGTGCGCAACTTCGAGTGCTTGCCAGTGCTCGTCCGGGTTGAAGTACGTGCGAACGAGCAGGGCATTCAGCAAACGAAACGCAATACATAGCACCCACAATCCACGCTCTCCGCCAAGCGCCATAAAGCGTAAGCGATCCTTGGCTATGGCGAAAATTTCCAGCAGCAGCCCGCTAGGCTATGGAAATTACCAGCAACCGCAGCCGAATTTCTACGGTCCTCCTCCTGCCAAGGGCACCCATAGCAATCTTGCGCTTGGAGCTGGAATCACCGCTGGAGCTCTGGAACTGGGCGGGAGAATGCCGCCGACAAGGATTTCGAATCAAGAACCCTAAACATTGAAGAACCCTAAATTTTATTTAATAAAACAGTTCTTCTCTCTCATTCCATCATCTCATCGCTGGGCAGCCTTCCAGATCGAAACACCGCAAACTTGGACGCCACCGAGTGTGAGAAAGGAATCCCATGGACGCCCAAGAACTCCTCGAGCATCGCCCTCACTCTCTCCGGATCCGGCGTCTCACACTCCACCTCGTACGCTGTCCCAAACGCGTAGCGCGTCTCGTCCAGCTCCAGCTTCTCGCCCTCCCACTCGAAAACCTGGCGCGTGTTCTTGAATCCCCCCAGGCACACGAATTCCGTGACCCCGAATTCGCGCACCACTCTCTGGACGATCGCGCTGGTCACCGCCGGGAGCTTGGATGGATCGCCCACGCATTCCCTGCCGGTGGCGGCGTCCAGATCCTCCTCGCTCTCCTCCACCCGGCTCACACCATTCTCCAGGATCGCGCGCGCCTTGAGCGACACCACGCAGCGCGCATCGCCGTTGTAGAAGCGCAGGCGAAGAACCGCGCGCCGCGCCGAGAGCTCGGCATTGGCACCGTCGAAGAAGAGATTCTCCTGCTCGTGCTTGATCTTGAAGTAGGGCAAGAGGATCTCCGCGAGCCGGGCGTGCGATCGATCGTCCGGGAGCGTGAGCTTCACCTCAACCTCCATTGCCGCTGACCTAATTCGAGGCGATCGAGCTAGGGCATTCGCGTGGAGGAGAGATTTCTTCATCCCTCGCGAGGAAGGAAATCCTGGCGATTGCGGGAGCTGGGAGATTCTCGCGAGCGCGGACGCCATAGCTGCCCCAAAATCTTCTCAAAAACAAGAGCGCTTTCTTCTTCCCTTCAAGAATTTCTCCTAAGATCCAGGAAATCCTCCACATTTCTTTCAAGCTCGCGAGGCCGGGCCATTCGCAAGAGCAGCAGTGGCAGTGGCAGTAGCGCCGCCTTGGACAGCGGCCGATTCGCGGCGGAGCTCCTTCACAACAGCCGCGAGCGCTTCCGGATTCACGCCGTGCTCGCAGAGCGCGATGCAAATCGAGAGCGTCTTGCGATCCAGACCTGTGTTGAGAAGATTTGCGATGTGGTGCGCGAGATCCAGGGCCTCCCTCGCCCGCTGCAAGCCCACGCCCTCCATCCCGCTAGAACCCTAGCGGGAAATTCCGGAACGATCTGGACCGTCCATCTGGCGGCTCATTACACTGCCTAGGTTTGCTCGATCAGCGATGGGATTGATTGAAGCGCTCTCACGGACGAATCGCCTTGGTGTGTCCTCTCCTCTTTCTTGTGCTCGATCGCTCTTCTTTACATGATCCTCGTTTCCTGCAGCTACTTTCGTTGTCCCGGCTCTAAAAGATCAAGAAATGCGCGTCGTTTGAGCTTCCTCTTCGATCGACGAGGAATCGAAGAGAATGAGCAGCGATCGTCGACGCTCTTCTTACATCTGGTAAAATTCGGTGAAGAATCGATGACCGCTTCCTTCTTTTTCTCTACAGAAATCTTCTTTCTGAATCATTCGGGGCCTAAGCTTTCCATGCAGGTGGTACGATAAGAGCTTGAATTTCTTCCGTGACCGCAGCGCCAAGCAAGAACTGACGACTCGATCATCCAAAACTCTCACGGACTTGGATTGCTGCTCGGTTTGCCAGGAGCAATTCACTCTTCCTTGTCAAGCGAATTGCACACACTGGTTCTGTGGTACGTCTTAAGTTCTTCCAGGCTTGGTTGAGAACTTATCTTCGTTTTTTCCTCTTTGTTTGAGAACTTATTTTCGTTTCTTTCTTCTTTCCTTTCAGGAGAATGTATTCTCAGAGTGTGGGAGTATGGATCAGCGTTACTCCCTTGTAAATGTCCCATTTGTCGACAACCAATCACTCACTTGTGGCCTAGCGAATTTTCTACGACTGAAGAGGCTACGAATTTCATGCCACTGCTCACTGACATCGCGACTTACAATCTTAACTTCGATAGCCGAGTGATCACCATTCTGCGAGTAAGTTTTCCTTCTTTTCAAAGTTCTCGCTTATGCTCTGGAGTTCTTTCTTAGCGCTGGCTACACTGGGTGATCTTCCAGCTGAAATTCCCCGACACAGAGGTTCGGTGTCTCCACGTTCTTCACTTCCTTTTTGTGAGTGAAACTTTCGAGCTTAGATGGTCTTGTTTTAACTTAAGCTCTTGCAGCTCCTGGTTCTCGCTCTTTACGTCGTTTGCACGCTCAATCTCATACTCGAAGGTAAGCTGGCTATTCGGGTACGTTTGTAAGAGCGCTCCAGGTTCAGTGACAGATGGAGATCTTTACAAGCTCGTTCAAGCTCTCCAGGCTTTGTAAATACTTCTCCGAGGCAAACTAAAGTAGGATCCTTTTCGATCGGCTTCGAGGGTTTGGACAGACAGTGAAGAAAGAGTTCATGGAACTTAATGCGGCACACAGATGGGTCGCGGGTTTCAACGTTGCCGAGAGAAAATCCGGACTGCGTGTGCTGTGTTCTACCAGGAGTCTTCCCAGACTACCGATAATGAGGGGCCGGAAGCTGGGAAGAGAGGCAATTCTCACTGTACAGAGCTTGAAGAGAGCCAAAGGTGTCCGGGAGGAGATGGAACAAGTGCTCAAGTCTCAGGTGTCTCGGCTTCTCAAGACTGACATGCTCGAAGTTCTGCGGGAGCTACACAGGCAAAATGACTGTGTTCTAGCTTACGAGGTAACCAAAGTTCTCGGTGTTCTCTCGTTCTAACTTTGCAAACAGGTTTTCAAGCTCATACGAAAGGAAATGTGGTACAAGCCCGACTCGCAGCTCTACTCCAGCATGATGAGCTTGATGGGAATGAACGCTCGACTTCGCGACGTAGAGGTACTGTTTCAGGAGCTCCAGGGAGAAATGCTGCCGGATGGGCTGGTTTACACTGAGCTCATGACGGCTTACTTGAGATGCGAGAGACCAAACGATGCGATCGACACATTCCAGGAGATGAAGCAACTGGGGCTCACGGTGGAGCTCAAAACTTTCACCACTCTGGCCAAATGGTTGGAGAAAAAAGGCCTTGGCGAGGAAGCTAGCGCTGTGAGAGCCGAATGCGAGGAGAAGTATCCAAGACGAAGAAGAAAGAATGAAGAAGAACAAGGCAAAAAACCAAGCTCGGGACAAAGCTAACGAGAATTTTAATCCCAGAGATATGCGTGGGTATATTCTTCTCTCTATCTGGGCTTAGGGTTTTAGGGGCGCTAGAGAATGCAGCGCTCGAGGCGCGTTGCGCAGCAGGGATTTAAGGCGCTGTCTGGATTTCGAGTCTTTAAGGAGGATTCTTCGTCGTTGTGGCATTGGCAGCAGCGCCGCGGATTGAAGATCGATGGATTGGAGGTGAGAAGAGCGCAATGCGGCATTGGATTTGCTTTGATGGAGTGTGTTTTGTGTAGGTGAGAGTCGGGCAGATTTTGGAGCGCAAAGGTAATGCTCCTCTGTGCGTTTTTCTTTCTTTCCTCTTTTTTCTGATAGGCAGTGATCATTCATAGGGCGCCTTGTGCAGGTTAATTTCATGTCTTTCTTTGTTTTTTTTGTGTGATAAGCTTTTTTTCTTCGGCTCTTTCAGGTTATAAAGATTGCTCATGCTCATGGAGGCCGTGGTGGAGCTACAATTCCGGTTTGATTTTCTAGATCCACCAATTTCATTAACTGAGACCTTTTTATTCCTTTATTCTTTTTTCTCTCGCTTGCTTGCAGATCGAGTACAAGGATCTGATCAGCGGGATCAAGTCAACTGAGCGTTTGCGAACCTCAGAATCGGTGGAAAGTACGTTGATTTCCCCAAAATTCCATTGTGATACTAAACGTCCTAGTGCGCAGGAGTGGCTGTCGATTCGAAAACCTTTACATATCTGTACGACGAGGGACAAATGGCGATTTTGATGGAGTAAGTGCGCACATGTTTCTTCCAAGATGTAGCTGACGCGTTTGCAGTCCAAAAACGTTCGACCAGGTTACAGTGGACAAAGAGCTCTTTGGAACTGGAGCTTCATATCTTTCAGGTGTGTCGTTTTGCGATTCCAAATCTCAGGAAAAAATGAGTTGTGTGTGATTTTGTTCTAGATGGAATGTCTGTGACGGTGCAAATGCACGAGGGTAAACCAGTGACTGCTTCGGTACCAGTTTCTCTGACATGCAAAGTGGTCGAAGCTGAGCCTTTTATGAAAGGCCAGACCCAAGCTGCAGCGTAAGTTGCTATTTTCAAGCATCCTTTTGACTCCTTGCCACAGGTACAAGCACATCACGCTAGAAAATGGCAAAATAATCATGGTGAGTTTTGAGTTTTCTCCTTCCGCATTCTACAATGGTGAACTCTCGTCTTTGCAGGCCCCTTGCTTCATCGTTAGTGGAGACCAGATAGTTGTCAACACAGTGGAAGACACTTACGTGACAAGGTTAGGTTGCATTCTCTTTTATGCCGAACAGTGGTCTTCATGTTCTGCTTCTACAGAGCTTCCAAAGAATAACAAACATGACTCTCTTCCAAAGAAGAGTAATCTCGGGGAGTTTAAAGAGCATCAAACAAAAGGTACTTGCGGCGTTCAGTTTCAGTCCTAATTGCCTTACATCCTCCCGACAAAGCTTCCCTGGCTTTTAAGGATTTCTAGAGGGCGAGACTTCTTCTCTGGCCGGTGTGAAGAGACCGGGGAGGGGACCATTTCAAGCCAGATCTATTTCACGTGGTATCCGACGGAATAACTTGTGCCAATGGTTCTCCGTCCGTCGCCGTGTTGGGTTCCTTTTGACGCGCTAGAGGAGTAGACATATAGACTTTCTGGGATCTGGAAGAAGAGCAGTGCTTCTCTAGAGCAAGATGGGGGATAGTGAGCAGCACAGGCATTGGGAATGGTCCAGGCTTCCAGCTGAGCTCCGACACAGGATTCTTCATCTTCTTCCGCTCTCTTCGGCTCTCGCCGCCCGAGCGGTATGCAAGGATTGGAAAGACTCGCTCTCGACATGGTCTGGACGGAAGTCGTGGTTTCTGGTGAAGGACGAGCAAGTCGAGCAAGAAGGCAGCTTGAAGTGGTCAATGGTTGATGCGGAGACAGGCAGCTGGATTCGTCTCGGTGGCCTCTCGCGCTTTGCGACTTCCGTGGCTGCCGGGGACGGCCTGGTGTGCCTGTGCGTGGGGAATTCCGCGAGACCCGAGTTTTACGTGGGGAATCCATTGTTTGAGAAGTCATGGCAGAAGCTACCGGAGCTCCCTCCGCTCAAGACTTTGACACTGGCGAGGCTGGTGCTGAGTGCCTCGGCGCTTACATGCGTCCTGGGCATTGTTTCCGAGGAGCCACCGGGTGTTACTGTCAGCGCCAGTGTCACTAGCAACAGCGGCAGTGGATCTTCAGGCTTCAAGGTCCTGGTTGGACGCTGCGGGTACATCGTTGTGTACGAGTCGCGAGCTGGAAAGTGGCGAGAGGTACAGGGAGACACGCCGGCGCTGGCTCTTCAGCTTCTCCAGGAATCGGACGAGCGCAGCATTGTGCCGGTGAGACGAGGATCCCAGCTGCTGTGGTCGCCGCTCCGATCCAGCGGAGGTATAGTTGGTTTCGATTTCGCAGCTCTCACTTGGTTTGTCTTGGAAGCGACGCTGTTTGAGCGCCTCAGCGCGGCTAGCTTGACTCGAGATCCCAGCTCCGGATCCGTCCTGCGTCGTAGGAGCTCACCGGAGCAGCGGGTCTCACCACTACAGGCACCTCAAAGTGTGGAGGCTGGACGAGGACGACGAGCTCGGCCAGGAGTGTAAGCCCGTGAACAGGATGAGAGACTACATGGTCCAGGAGATCTCGCCAAAGGGCTTCTTCGCGGCTCACTGGTGCTTGCGCGAAGCCAAGCTCATGCTGCTCACTTGCACGCTCGAGAAGTTCTCGCCCCAGGTCCGCGACTGGGGATTCAAGCGATTGGTGCTGTGGTCGTTTGATCCTCACGCAGCAAAGTGGTCGTCGAATCCTCTGAGAAGACCTCTTCGAGATGTGGATCTGAGCAGCAGCGTGGTCTACTCGTTCCAGCCGAGGCTGGATTTCAGCCAGTGATCGACGGCTAGAAGCTTGCCACGTGTGGCATCGGACGGTGGAGGTTCCTCTACGTGGCTAGCAGTCTGCCACGTAACTATGTGATCAGTCTGCCACGTGTAACATCAAACCGAGATGATGGAACGGCTTGATTCGGCCACGTGTATTGTGACTAGAACCTTGGATATGGCGGCCACGAGCTTCGCGAATGTGGCGAGGGTTCTCGGCGCGCCTGGCGCCAATCCGGCGATTTCTCGCTCTTCCGCAGCTGTTGTGAGGATGAATGCGAGCGGCGCGGCTGGAGAGAGGAGCGTGGCGCTTAGGGTTTCGTCGCCGGGCAGGGAAGGCAGGGCGGAGCTGGCGGTGATCTCCGGGGAAGCGGAATTTGATGAGGTTTTGCAGCGAGCGCAGGAGGACGATTCAATCGTTCTCATCGAATGGTCTCTTCTTTTCTCCTTTTGATTTGATTTTACATGGATTTGGAGCAGGATGGCAGCGTGGTGTAGGAAATGCATCTACTTGAAGCCTCAATTGGAGAAGCTGGCTTTGGAATTCCAGCACGGGTAAATTCCTTTCTATGATTCTTTCCTTTCCTTCTTTGTTGCCTCCCTTCGCTGACCTTTCTTCTGTCTTTGCTTTGCAGAGCAAAATTCTTTTGTGTGGACGTCAATGCCGTTCCACACGCATTGATTAAACGCGTTGGTGTTTCGGTATGTTCTCTCAATTGCGTGTTTTGATTTGGTTTGCTCATCTTTTTTCCTTTTCCAGAGAATGCCAACTATTCAGGTCAGTCCATATCCATTTTGCTTACATTCAAGTCCTGTGGTTGTTAACTTTTCCTGTTTTTCCTTATCCGTAGCTGTGGAAGAACAAGGAAAAGAGAGCAGAGATCATTGGAGGTCAAAAGGCCGAGCTGGTTGTGGAAGAAGTCCGGCAAATGTTGCAGACCCTCGAAAAGTGACTCGTTGGTTGGTATTCTTCAGAAAGTCGATTTCGTCAGAAACCAATGTGCTGTTGTTTCGCTGAAACAGGAACTCGAGGACGATATTCCACCAACATTTTTATCCCTCGGACTAAAAGTGCCTGTATATGGTGGTATGTCGTTGTTTTTTCTACAGACTTGTAAATGAAAAGCTGAATCTCTACTTCAAGGTCTACTCGACGAGCCAAAGCAAAAAAACTTTGGTCAGAGATTTCCATGAGATCCATCAGAATAGAAACAAGGAGATCAGAGATTTGTCGCGCTTGATTGCGGCTATAAAGACGTGCATCAAGAGCAGGGATCTGGAAATGGGGTACAAACTTCACGCGGAGGCAGCTCAAAGTGGAGACGACTCAAACATTTACGTAGCAAACACACTGGTAAACATGTACGCCAGGTGTGGGAGCTTGACAGACGCTCGCAGGCTTTTCGACAGGATGGATCGCCATGACCTTGTGTCATGGAATGTTATGGTGCTGGGATACGCTGACAGTGGCTACGCAGAACTGGCACTGGACCTCTTTCAACTCATGCAAGCTGATGGCTTTGGTCCAAACTCTCGAAGCTTTGTAGCCGCCTTCAAAGCTTGTGCTTGTCTAGCAAAGCAAGAAGACACGGCGCTGATCGATGGGAAGCTTGTGAAGCTCAGGGCTCTCGAGAAAGGCATGGCTCTTCACTCCCAAGCTGCAAGTTTCGGCTGTGACATGGACAGATTCGTAGCAAACGTGTTGGTGGACTGTTATGCAAACTGTGGTAGCATGGAGGATTCAAGCAGGGTCTTCTACGGGATCCAGAGTCCGACGGTGGTTTCATGGACTGCATTGGTTCTCGGATATGCTGAAAACGGGCAGGGAGAGATGGCCTTGGAAATGTTTTCACAGATGCAACACGAGGGTGCTGAGATGGATTTTCTAAGTTTGTGGCGGCACTCAAGGCTTGCAGTGTTTTGGCCGTGAAGGAAAAGGCAGCAAAACGAGCCAATGGCTCCTTGGTGAAGATCATTTCTCTGGAAAGAGCCATGAAAATCCACTCCGAGACGTCAAGGAAGAAGTGCGATTCGGACTTATATGTGGCGAGCTGCCTGGTGGATACTTACGTCAAGTGTGGGAGCATGCTAGACGCGCGTAGGATTTTTGACAGGATGACGCAGCGGAATGTGGTCTCCTGGAATTCGTTAATCTTGGGGTATGCCGAGAATGGAGAAGAGGAAGTGGCTTTAGAACTGTTCGGGCGGATGAACAGCGAAGTCTTTAAGCCAGACGCTCAAACTTACGTTGCAGCGTTGAGCGCTTGCACTCGACTGGCGACTAAAGAAGTACCAAGGGACGCAGAAGATGGCTTTCAGATTTGGGCGAACTTTGTGGACCTGGAGAAGGGAATGGCTGTTCATGCACGGGCTGCAACCGATGGCTTCGACTCCAACGTCTACGTTGCAAGCAGTTTGATCGACATGTATTCCAAGTACGGTGTCCCAGACGAAGCTCGAAAGGTGTTTGACGAGCTCCATCCTCCCAGGAACAACGTCGTGACTTGGAATGTCATGATCCAGGGATACGTAGAGAATGGAGAAGCTGAGCTTGCTATTGAGCTGTTCACGTTGATGCTGCTTGAGGGGACGTGCTCGCCTAATGCTCGAACTTTCGTAGCCGCGTTCAAGGCGTGTACTCTTAAGCAGAGAAGGAACAGGAAG